AGACTTTGGAAACACAAAAAAGCACAAACATAATATTGTAAAGGTGATGTTGGGCTCAGTTGAGCAAACTTGCAATCGAATGGCCTGAGGTGATCCGCACCGAATGAAGCTGATCGAATAGTGCTTCACGAGTAAAAATACCATCTGCCATGTTGTAGGACTCGAGAGATCGATTGTCCTTGAGGATGCGACGGATGTTCGTGATGTGCAACTCGAAGCCGAATTGTTGGGTAGCCCAGTTTTGAAATTCGCGGAAGTCAGTGTGAAACCCCGAAACCCCGAAACCATTTTAGCCTGGGGGTCCCATCCACGAATAATCTTGGATTCCCACAACACGAGAACACCTTTGCCCCATCACCCCGGCTTATCTTCCCGAATGGCTCATCAAGATCTAGGCCGCCCAGGTGGAAAGCCAGTGCTTGGGATGATGGAGTGTTTGGCTTGGGACTGCACCCTTCCTTTCGGAGAGTTCAAGGCGAACACTTGTCTAGTTGGTGGCAAAATCAAAAATGAGGAATAAATTTCACGAAACCTGGTGGCACCATTAAACGCCCTGTCTCATTGGTGCCTCGTCCCGTGTTTCTGGAATTTCCTCAACCACTACTCCCAAAAGTATTACCTCTTCACAATTCATAATTCTCTCATATTTGATAGTTCTGATGAAGGTGCCGATTCAAAAACACCAATTTTGGTATACAATAACCAAGTTAAGAAGTGGCCGATCATTGGTTCGCTTTGTTTTTTGTCACGAATTCAAAATTTCCCTCAAGCACGTAGTACTGTCTAAACTGATTTATTCGCATATCACGTTAAAGACCTTGATCTGGCCGTCACGATGATGTATATATCAGCACCAACCGAGAATATTCCATGAAGTTATACAACGTCAAAGTTCGTCACCAAAGTGACCGATCAATGGTTCGCTACGTTAACAATTGAATGTAGAAGAGAGAGCATATCACTTACATTTAACATATACTACTCTAACTGGTAATAAGTGCAGGCGGTGACGAAAAGTAAAATGGGATTGGGCTAAAAATTAGTGTGGATAGAAATTTACGAACCAAGACGATTCTCGTCATAATTTTTGCGGAATTTTATTTGCACAACTCCACTTGCTACGTCGATGACAAGTCGCCATACAAAAACCAAGATAAACCTGGCCAATGACCAGTGCATGTCCCTTTACCAAGACCTGCTTAGAGTAAGCACAAATGATGTTCTAACGCGAAATCAAGTGGAACGTGTTTGCAATGATTTTGGTCTGAGCTCCTAGAAACTCCACATCCGTCGTGTCATTACGATCCTTGAAGGAGCCACATCCTCTTCGGTCGCTCTTGTACTTGATATATGTATGTGACATACAATAATTCAATGATGTCAAGTCTTTTTCGTAATCTGGATTCTTGTCAAGTCTTTTTCGTAATCTGGATTCTTGTCGACGCGTGATGCATCCACGCGATATTATTCGCTGATTGCTACATTCTCCCCCAGATGTCTCGCTGTCGCTGAGATCTTTCGTGGGGTTGGTCTTGTACGAGTGCTTGAAGTGGATTACATGTTTGATGTTTTGGCGAGTTCTCATATAGCTTCGCTTTCAAGTTGTCCAT